GAGAGCCAAAGTTCAGCACAAGTAGGACAGCTAAACTGGAGTGATACCTAGGCTTTACAGAAAACTGATGTTAAGCAATTGTTTCATTACTCATCACCGAGTAAGCGAGATTACCGGAACCCTAAAGCTAAACCCTAAGGTAACAGTCACAACACACTTGTGACTGTTACTTACAGGTCTGGTGTCCATAATAGGCGGCGGAAGTCACTTACCATTAGGTGAACCGTCTGCTCGTGTGCCCCTTCTACCCTCAAGAAGAGACCCCCTTAAAACTACTGCTATTGCGATAGTTAAAATAACTTAAATGAGAATACCATAGCAAATACTATGTCTCAGCGATTTCATTAAAAAGCCGTAATCAGGGTATAATGAAAAAAATATAATATTACAAAATAAAGAATTCGTTACAAGAACAAAACAATGCAATTTGGTTTAAAAAAAGAACCGCAAAATGAGCTAATGTTCAAAAACATATATTTTTACTTAAAAATCTTCAACCAAAAGTTTTTTGGACTAACTATCTAAATGTATAAAAATGTTTAGTTGGTTTGTGTACACTTGAAAGAGTTTAAAATTTGACACGATATAGAGCCCGCTTCAAAGATGGTTTTTTATATATTTTTCTTGTCCATTTTATTTCTCATCAATAAAATCACAATATTCCACAGCGAATTACATAAAATCAGAACTGTAAATCTGTATACCGGTGTTAAGCAATTCTTTCGTTGCCTTTCACTGAGTGAGTGAGGTTACCGGTCCCACTGACTCGAGCGGGAGGGACTCCAGGCGTGGAGTTGCAGGGGTCCATGGGCGGCGGTAGTTGCTTACCATCAGGTGACCCGTCTGCTCGTTTGCCCCCTTATACCATAAAAAAAAACATAATCCTTGTTATCTTTTAACAGGGATGAATAATAAAAAATATGATTATAGGTATCTCTAAATCTAATCCCATCCGCATCTATCATAAGTGTTACGCATATCATCCTATAAAAACAGTAGGGGGCAAAAGGGATTTCTCATTTTTACTAGCTAGATTCAATTATATTGGGCTAAAATAAACTTAGCATACACAACCCGCTCATCTCTCTTACTTTGATACCTGGTGAAGACAACTTTATTTTAATGCTAGGTATAGACAGTAGCCACTGTTACCACAATGTCATTTTAGTATTATTATAATTTATTCTAAAATATGTACTACATTCTTCTTGTGTCTAACTGATCTGAAAATGTATCTATCTATGATGAATAGATAAACTTTGATTAAATATTTTGTAATTCTTGGGGTAAACCTACATAATGAACAAAATATCTGTAAATTGAAACCTCTTCGGCAATTTTACAGACGTTTTTTTGATATGGTTTGTTAGTTCCTAATATTCCTTAGAGTTCTTTTTCTGAGTAAAGAATATAAAATAACAATTTATGTATGGGATTAGTTTTATTAATAGGAGATTACATAATCATTATTAACACTTTTCTAAATAAGTTAAAAATACGAGAATATTACATAATTAAACTAAAAAAGCATTTATAAATAATTAATTTTATACTACATATTAATTTTATAGGAATGTATTTCTAAATTTTGTACAAATTTCTTAATTAGGTTAACAATTTAAGTCAACATATTTAAAAACGAATATAATAATTAATTATTTTTGGCATCATAGGCATGGATTTCCTAAAAAAAATTTGTACGAACCATTCAATAAGGAATGGGTCCAACAAAATTATCAATCAAAATTGGTTCAAAACAAAAAATCTTTATTTCATAAGTCGCTTAATAACTGTCTTCGCTAATGCCGTAGACTAGATGTCGTAAATAAGCGGTCTCTTAGTAGCACACATTATCTAGTATTACTAGATAATTATTCTCATAATTAGGTCGATAGCGAACTGATAGCATCACGCTATGACAATTTTATACAAGTTTATTTCAAAGGTGTTTCGTAAAATCACCAACAAAATGCAACAACATTTGGTAAGTAAACGGGACACAATGTAATTTTCTAAAATGTTCTAATTATGATATAACTACTAAAATTGTTGTGTTATTCAACAACTTATTTACAGAAAATTAAAGGTATTAACTGCCAACTACACGTTACAACAGGTTTTAGTGTTAAGACAGATAGATCTTGACTTCAGTATCTATCAGTTTTTTTATTCAAATTCGATTGAAACAAAATAAAAAGTATCTTTTTCTCCCCTCGAACTCCACCCACCGGTGGTTATGTCGGATTCAAAATAGAAAATAATTATAAAAATCTGCTCTTAAATGATGGTGTTTTGAGGTAACAAACAAAAAAGCCTAGTCGGTTTTTTTTTGAAGTCAGTTAAAACAAAAATATCTTTGTTAAGGATCTTTTTTTCCTAACTATGACTTAAGACTTTCTAATACTGACCATACTTACACATCGCTTATTAAGTCCCATCTGTTTCTGCCCAATGAATAAAGTCCCTTCAAATTTCGGCAGCAGCCAGAAGCATACAGTATCATATAAACTTTATCATACCATAAAAGAGACAAATAAACAGGCGGATGTTACAATGATAAACGCTATCAGAAATAACCTATACGTTTAACCTTTGCACTTAATGTTATAAACAGATAAAGCTGTATACATAAGTATCCATTGTTACCAACGATGCTTCTGTTTCTGTTTTCGCTTATCTGTAGGTGGCTCCAGTTGAGAATGAGAAGAAATAAGAAGATAATGTGCCGTATCTATGAATGATCTCCTAACAAATATTATTATTAATGCGAATGTAACTTTGTTTATTACAATCATGTTGGTATTTAATAGGCCAATTCGTGAAATTCTGCATAGGTAGTGGTACTGAAAAAGGAGAGATAATATCTTTCATCTAAGAATAAAATACTGTTTTCATAGAATGGATTATTTGTGAAAGTGTTGGTATTATTACCTCCATAAATTTGTCTAGGTTGCATATCTTTTTTCGAATGAAGAACATCCTTTTCCTAGCACTTAACTTTTTTGTCTATGATATCCGTTTGAGTGTCATTCTTTTTCAGTTACTAGCTGTTGGCCGCGGATCCGCCCGCGTGTATGTCGGTTATCGCGGTAAAAATTAGCCTATGTTACTATATAGCTTTCCATTGTTGAAATATTTTTTCAAATCGGTTTAATGGTTTAGACATAAAAGCGTAACAAACAAACAAAATGTCACATTTAAAATATAACTATGGATTAGCATTTTAGCATATTTCTCATTTATATTTAGCTAAAATAGCTGTGGTCCATAATATAATAAACCAATTACCGTTGAGAAACTCACAAGATTATTTCTTAAAATATTTAAGTTGGTAATAGCTCTTTAAAACAAATACTCATACAAATCTCGGAACTGTTGATCCTAAATAACTGTTGTAAACATTCCTCAGAAATCGGAAAAATAGTGACATCAACAATTATTAATACATTAAGCTTGTTTTTGTAACAATCTTTTGAAATAATGTATTTTATTGTTTACATTCCAAAGAAATTGTTTGGGGAAAACACATTAATTTAAAATCAAGTGCCAAGTTCATTATTATATTAGGATAAAAACTTCTGTGGTGTCTATATTTATTAGAGATTTGTGATGAGACCAAACATTCTTTGTGTGTTTTTTAGAATATTTCAATGTTATTTAAGTCCCTGACAAAGTATAATAAATGTAGTTATCGTCCAAATACAAGGGCCATGAATAAACTACTACTTACTGTAAAAAATATTGTAGGTAAAACAATATATTACGTAGAGTCACCAAATACTACAGAAACTTAATATAATATAACTTAATATAAACTTAACTTATAACTTAATATAAAATAAGTAATAGAAACTTCTAGAACGGTGAGAACATGAAATATGTATGTGTAGAAGAAATGCAGAAATCCAAAAATCAACAAAAAATTAATTTAAAAATTAAAAATTCGTGAAAAAGGCTGCTCAAGGTACACACGTATAGGTTGTATGTTATGCACCTAGCTCCAGTTAATTAAAACCTGTTAAGATTTTTGTGATGTTTTATGGCTAACGCCTGTATTGTAAATTTTGTTTCAACAAATGAAAGAAAAAAACCCATACTATATGTTAGTGTATACAATAACAGTTTAAATTAATTAAATTCTTAATTTTATATTGTGCTAATATAAAATTGACATAGACCAGTAATACATGATTAGATTTTTGAAAGATTTATCCTCTAACTCCTAAAGATCAAGGACCCTTCCATCATCAGCTCAGCAACATGACATAACGACTCATCATCATCATCATCATCAACAGCCATTACTAGTCCACTGCTGGACATAGGCCTCCCCTTAGAAATAAGGGTTTGGCCTACTATACCAGCCTGGCCAGACGGGTTGGTATAGGGTTTGTTTCAAGTTTTCCTTCTCTTTGCAGTGCTGTTGTTCTGCGTAGTTTGTTCCCTTAGTCGCCTCTTACGACACCCACGGGATGAATAGGGGTGATAACATTCCATATTCTTAATCCGTCACCACACGGACATAACGACTACTAAACGCAAATGGCCATAAAGCTAGAGAAATAAGCTAAAACACGTTGTCGGGGCTGTAAAATTTGAGAGTTTTTCCTCGATTTCTGTAGGATCCCATTATCAGATCATGATTTGATGTTAATGGGACCACCTTGTGAACAATCGGTATACAATTGACGGCAGTATCTCGTAACACATAATAAAATTTACAGATAAATTGATAACCTCTCTGGTGTATTTGAAGTCGGTTAATGACCAAAAATACAATTATGCTCGATATTTGACCACCACTAATACCTACTACATTCTTAACCACATTTAAATACTTAATATATCAGATTCCATTTCAGTTTCACAGATTCATTTAAAAAGAAGAGTAAAAAAATACATTAAAATACCATCGCTGTTATAACACTTTAAGCGATTTTATACATGTCAAGTGATTAATTAAACATTTATATACTAAAATAAATATTTTTATCTTGCAGAAATAAAATCAGGGATTCCGTGGAAATCCCGGTGCTGACGAGATGCTGTTTTTGCTTCCCACTCCGGAAAGGCCTTATCGCTTTCGCCTACATAAATTTGGTAAGTTCCTGTTTTTTATAACATTTACATTAGTTTTAACCCTTTTTATTTTATGTTTAATTAAGAAACCAAAATTGTTGCCTGTGAAAGACCATCAAACATCACAATGTCATTTAGTGTATACCCATTATCTTACTTTATCCTTCTGTACTGCATAGAAAGCAATGTACCTTTCATTCAGAAAAAATACTGTTTAAAAGTGAAATCTTTAATACCTAACTGATTGTCGCTGCGTACAAAAGCTAGTACGTCATGTTTAATCGAGGACCTAAAATTGCTCCCTGTGACACACCAAAACACTTAGTAATATTAGTATCGCGATATTTTTCCGGAAGTAATTCAAAGTTAACAATTTTCGACGCCTCTATTATCATATTTACATTATAATAAAATTCTTATTTGATAATGATAAACATTTGTTTCAAGGTCTTACACAGGTTCCATTACAATAGCACTTACAACTAGAAGTTGAAACAGAAATTTAATGCTTTCAATCTGGGAACCGGCCAGTACTTATAAAATATATGTACTTTGTTTCATAGTTTCATAACACTTCATTCAAAACTATCGAACCCACGACCTCCTTTTTAGCAGTCAGGGTCACTAACCACTAGACCAACAGGCCCGGAATATCTTAAATATATTGATTCTTAAAAATATATTCTATTCTATTCTATGATGTATAAGATTGTCAAAAAATTACTTCTGTGTCAAGCGCTGCACTTTGTAGTCAAATAGATTTATAACGTTTCTTTTCAAATTATAGATACTGACAGTAGTAGTGACATCTTTCCTGTCCTTCTACATATCATACATCAGAAATGCCTCAGAGTCTGATCAAGCGGCTTTGGCGCTGGAGTATGCAAGACTAATAGCTGATGTTGTCGCTTTAATTGTTGAAGTGATTATGACTGTTGCCTTCATCGTGGCTTTACATAGAGTAAGTATAGTTTTAATGGATTTATTTAATACTAGCTGACTTTAAAAGTCCTCTAGATTACAAGCAATTAGTTTTTGACTTATTTTTATCTCAAAATGGTAATAGCAAAATCTTTTTCTCAGTACTGGATATTCGTCATAGTTTCACCTCCATTAATCACTAGTTAGTGCTCGTCTTTAAGGTGTACTTCAAAGGACTGCGGCGTGATTTTAATAAACTTAAAACTTTTTTGAATATTAGGCTATAAGATGCACAATATATTTTTAAATTCAGCTAGTAGTTCCACAGTTATCGCGTTTAACTAATAAGAACACATGAGCCCTATTTATGTTAGAATATACATATGAAAATTCCTTTAAATAAGTCATTCTCGTATATAATATTCAAACTTCCAAATCTGAAAGTTATGAAGTCATTAAATCATTACAAAATGTTCATTTTCTAATATTATTTTCCTTTTATTTTCAGAAACATGTCCTGCTCATGAAGGTTTATCTGTACTTTGAGATAGTGTATTCCATCTTTGGATTCATATACAGCCTCGCATTCTTGACGAAGGAGACTGCCAGTGAACTGTTCCTGGTGTTATTCCAACTGAGTAAGTTTGAAAAAATTATAAAGAAAAGACATAAGATTTGCATCATTCCTTTATATCTTGGTTTTTAATATAATATTAGCAGCATTTGGTGAATTTGAATTTCGAGTTCATAAATAACATACATAACATACGGAAGCGTGGAGTAGGAGTGTGGTCGTCTTGTTCCTCAAAAAGGGTGGCAAGACCATGTTGAAGAACCCACCCATAACCCTTCTAAGCCCCGTTTTAAAGCTGTTTTCGAGAGTCATCACGAACCCTCTTGCGTGGAGACTCGACGAATTCCAACTACCAAAGCAAGCTGAGTTTCGGAGCGGATATAGCACCATAGACCACATCCACACAGTGCGGCAGATTATACAGAAGACGGAAGAATATAATCAGCCTGTGTATCTAGCATTCGTGGGCTATGAGAAGGTCTTTGACTTGATCGAGATCTGGTTTGTTTTGGAGTCCCTGCAGCGTTGCCAAGTAGATTGGCGATACATCCAAGTGATGAAATGTCTCTACGAAGCCACCACCATGTCCGTCCAAGTACAGAATCAGAAAAGAAGGTCCATACCGTTGCCTCAAGGACAAGGGGACGTTATTTCCCCGAAATTGTTCACAGATGCAATGGAGGACATGTTCAAGATGCTGCACTGCAATAGCGAATACATTTCTCACTTGCGATTTGCAGACGACTTTGCCATCATGGCAGGGAGGCTGTAGGACCTACATCAGATACTGAATAACCTAGCTGACTCTTCTGTACGCATTGGCCTACGGATGAAATTGCACAAAAAACCAAGGTAATGTTCAATGAGCATGTACTACCGGAACCGATTGTGGTACTTGGTGCCGGTCTCGAAGTTGCTCAAAATTATGTGTACCTCGGGCAGACATTGCAGTTAGGTAGAAACAACTTCGAGTACGAGGTGAACAGAAGAATTCAGTTGGGTTGGGCAGCGTTTGGGAAGCTACGTCAAGTCTTCTCATCGTCGATCCCTCAGTGCCTTAAGACGAAAGTCTTCAATGATTGCGTCCTACCCGTCATGACATACGGAGCTGAAACGCGGACACCTAAGGTGCGGCTGGTCCACAAGTTCAAAGTTGCTCAACGTGCTGTGGAAAGGGCTATGCTCGACGTTTCTCTAAATGATCGCATCAGGAATGAGGTGATCTGGCAGAGCACCAAGGTTACCGACATAGCCTACCTGATCAGCAAGCTGAAGTGGCAGTGGGCTGGCCATATTAGCCGCAAAACTGACAACCGTTGGGGAAAAACGGGATCTTGAGTGGATCACGCATCTCGGCAAAAGTAGTGTAGGACGCCCACAGGCCAGGTGGAGTGATGATTTGCGCAAGATGGCTGGCAGGAGCTGGATGCGAGAAACCCAAAATCGATGTAAGTGGTGTGTTATGGGTAAGGCCTATGTCCAGCGGTGGACTACGATAGGCTGATGATGATGATACTTGAAATACGATTAATAAGTCACGTTGTCTAAATCATACCTTTAAAATGTTGAGCCACCGTAAATGTGAGACTTATCTATATATTTATTGATCATACATGTATAATTTTAAAAATTCTTTACCAACGTCTGTCCTATAAAAGGACTCCAGTGCATGCCACGTATTGTAAATGAACACCACATCAGAGAATCATTAAAATATTTCACATGATGCATTGTTCGAATAACAATGCCTTTAATCTGATAGTAAGTAGAAACTCTTTGTCAACATTGAACCAAGGTTAGTATTTAGCTCATAGTTAAATAGAATGAGTCTTCAAATGGCGCGAAATCTTCCATTACTTACACGGGGTTTCTTATTAAGTAATCATACATGACATTGTTAACCAAACCATATGCTTAACGATTCTCGCCTCTGACTGGGTAATTTTTATCAAGGTGTGCAATTATTAAAACCTGCTGAAGCATACATACGATTACGTAAGCCTATTGCCCGGACTTGAGAAGTTAGGTGGGAAAATTGACAGAAACGTTAGTAAGATGGGAAGATTGTCATAGTTTGATAATAATGCGATTAAGCTTCATCAATATGTGTAGATGTAGGATCTTATCGACAATGATATAAATTAGATTCATCGTTAAGTACAACGATGTTGAGTACATAAAAGTATTGTCCATATACAAATAGAGGCTTTATTGCTATTAAGCAATTTCTTTCAATCAACCTTTGCATGAACAAATCGACTGTAAAAAGATGAATTCATGGGTAGTTTTGGTGTAAAAATTAGAAAACAATTATAGAGCAGATATGATTTGATTTCGATAAAAAGCAAATACCAAAGTATTATACCATATCCTTACTACCATAAACCAAACCATACCAAGTTGACCAACCAGACCAACAAAACCAGTTGTGGTGACAGATTACGAATACAAGTGTCCCCAACCCTATTCATACCGTGAGTGTCGTAAGAGCCGCTTAAGGGAGCAAACTACGCAGGACAACAGCACTGCAAAGAGAAGGAAAACTTGAAACAAATCCCGTACCAAGTCATCTGGCCAGCGTGATATAATAAGCCAAAACCTCCTTTTAAGGAGAGCTATCACCAGTATAATAGTCCACACTATTATAGACTGTATGATGAAGATCTTGATAAACAAAATGTTAATAGTTAACTAGGATTAAGTTCGTAATAACAAAAGTTAAAGTTATTTACCGATACAGATTTTAAATATAATCATATTTATATTTTCAGTGCTTCAAATTTACTTGGTGATCTTAATATGGAGTTCAATAGTGAAGATGAAAAGAGATGGTTCAGTCAAATACTCAAGAGAGACGAATGTCGCCTGAATGAAATATTACGTTTATATAGTTGCTTACACGTTTAGTGATTAAGTAGTAGTACAGGAAAAGCTATTTTACGTAAAAGAGAAAATATTAAGATGTTGATTTATATGGTGTTGAATTGATGCATGAAGTTGTGTCATATTTATAGTTTTTAAATGTAAATGATAGAAAATGTTAAAATGAATCTGAAATATAAACATAAATTCTTTTGGAGATACGCTTTGCACAGATACTAAGTTCTAAAGCATGTAAATAGTATAATTGTCCATATTTCCCCATACAGGTTTGCTTAAGTACTTTTTGGGTAGAAGGTAAAACATACTTTGTTGTTAAAACAATAGAGGATGATGAGCCAAAAAAACCTATAATGTTCATGATACAGATATTAAATCAGCAAACAATCTGAGAATCGAAACGTGAATATTTTAGTGCATAGGTTAGCAAGCGAGACTTAATATTAATTAATACATACTGATGATGGCTGTCGACTGTTGTTAGTGGAAAAATTAGTTTAAGGGCTTATTTTAGAATTGCCTAGAAAAGTAATACATATTTCATAAAGAATGCTGAACACCCCTCGGGGTTTCAGTTTCAAAATAGATTTCGAGATTTTAAAGTTCACGATAAAATACCTAACCTAGTACCTATGCGTTAAACAATTGCTAAAATAGATTCACGAATTAATTTACAATACGATTCTGTAATAAAGCCCTTACATTAAATATATAAAAAATATATGTTTACATAAATTTTGTAATCCGTTTTGAGTTATGGATTGTAATGTTAATTGAACAAATAGATTCCAAAATTTTTGTAACTAATTTAAATAATTTAATTTAATTTTAAGAAATAAAGTTACCCTTAACAAGTAAATAATTGTTAGAACAATTGTAAGTAAACCTGACCATATGTTTTGTAACGTTCCACGACAGTGAAGAACACGATAACGTTTTCGTATTAAATATATTAATATAACTACTTCTTTAAAAGTACTATATTTATATAAAAACTAAAAATACCTGGAATGGGAAACTTTGATTACTCTTTCCACGTGGTTCTTCCTTTGATTTATATTCTTTACATTGTAATACATGTGTCGCAATCCGTATCTAAAACTTAGTATTTAAAGAAGTATTATCTAAAATGCTTTTATTATTATAATGTTTATAAGTGCCCTAAAATCAGGAATGTTGATGTCCTGATGCAATATAAAAGGTCAATGATATAAAAGAAGAACATAGCATACTGTTAGAAACAAAGAAAAGATCACAATAAAACGTACATGTCGTGAATAGAAAAGAACTAAAAAATCCTTCTTTTACATATACTTGTAAGAAATTGCTGTACGAGTATGAATCTCTGTTATCACACAAGACTTGGGACTTATATACAATGTTCAAATAAAGTTACTTAGAGATGAACTATTGTATATTAACCCAGCTTGCGTTTCACAATCATTCAACCAATTTTTATTACCTATATCTCAAACAAGGCTTTAGAAAATTGTGAACAAAAAATATTTCGGCAACTATGAACTAGACATGAGCTGTCTAGTACAATACAATCGGATACAATTATTTCTAGCTCGAGATTTTTTTTATTTTGAATCGAAATGTTGTTGTTGGTAAAACGCAGTCTTAGCCGTCAACTGGAAACAGTCTTGGCATACTAACCCTTTAACACAAATGGTCGATTTCATATAAATTGAAAATTAAAAGTTAAGCTAGAGTTTATTTCTATTCTCCAAAGTAATTCAATACAATATGCACCTTTTATGAAGGTACATATTTTTAAGTTTAGCTTCTCAGTACCAGGTCTAAGGCCTGTGTTGATTCTAATTTTTTGTCAATGCTCAAATTTTATTAATTATAATAATTACGCAACTTTTTTAAAATTTATTTTAAATTTACTCCTTTTTAGAAATACTTTTTTTTAATTAAATTTATTTTTTGATATTAAAATATCAATATTTATTTATAAACCTGCATTTCGAAATTTACTTTTTCGTCTTAAGATATAAATAAATTAATATTAATTACATTCTAAAACATTGTAAATACATCTAGTTTTATTTTTATATTTAAACATAAATCTACGGAATGTTATACCAAATAAAATGCCGTTTAAAACATAACTAAAGTTGTTTTATTTATCAGTAGTGATAGTAATGATTATTGCTAAATAACAGAAATATTTAAAGAAGGAACCATCGATACAACCAAAAAAGAAAGAAAATGTATGTAAACGTCACAATATAATCAGTATTCTCAAGCCCAGGGAGACCCCTCCCCAGTGTCCCTCCCTCATAGTGTAGTCATTAGTTTTATGAAATGTTAATAAAAAATTATATTATATATTTTGTCAGTGTTGTTGTTACGTCCGTCGACACGGTCCGCTAACCGCTTATGGTTCTAACCGCTAGTACCCTCTGAGGACGCCAAAGGCGCACCCTATTCTGCAAAGAGACCAAACCCTAAACCAAACCTTATGGCCAGCGTGGTGTAGTAGGCCATAACCTTCTTTCTGAGGAGAGGCCTATATCCAGCAGTAGACTATTAACGGCTATTGATGATAATGACTATATTTTACTTATTAATTTTGAAGAAAAAATATTATTTTCTATTTTTTTCTTTCCATTTTTTAGGCTATAAGTTGCAAGCTTGTGACTTTCTTGGAATCTGTCCAAGTAAGTCCAAATTTAAGATACCCTATCAATAGCGTACCCTATAATACCCTTTAAATGACACTTGTCTAAATGTTGTTGTCACTTTATAATACTCAACTCAAAGTTGAGTAAACAAGTCTTTTTAGATCACCAGGATCTATAAAATTGGCATGGAAGAAAAACATGAATAGGTGTACTACCAAGTGAGACCCAAGAAAATTATGGATACCAATTGGATTCAACAATTGTTTTAGGTGACAAAAGTGATAACTATGACGAAGAAGAGAAAAAGAACAAACAAGCATGAAATTTGAAATTAAAATATAATAAATATTAATTTAAACAAAAAAGTATTTGTGTTAAACATTCACAGATTTACGATATTGCTATGAATAGATTATACGGCGCTGTATTTAGGTTCATCTGCTTCCAGTAGGCGCTTGAGTCGATCATTTCCTAATTCTTCTTCTAGATCCTTTGCGTAACTGGAGACTAACACCAACATGTAGAAGCGGATCACTGTAAAATAATATGTACATATTAAAGTTTTTTTAAATATTTATAAAGTAATCAATGTGTTTGATTATATCATTCTGAAAGCTTATGAGAAATCATAATTGTGAAAAAGTTGTATTAGCTTCTAATTACATATCTAACTAGAAGTTTTATGATAATAATAATATATCTCACACATCTCACACAAGGCCGTCTGATACCAAACTAGGTAGAGCCTGTACTATGGTAACCAGACTGCTGATAAACATACTTATATATTTTTAAATAGATACATGTTTTGGATAAATTACACCCAGACACAGAACAAATGACCGTGCTCATCACACAATATTTGTCCTGGGTGGGAATTGAACCCACGACCTCCAGTTTAGCAGTCAGGGTCACTAACCACTAGACCAACAGGCCCGTTTAAATTTAAAATATTATCAGTAGTTTACAACTCCATCATGAGCAATATCGCCTTACTAGCAAGTGTGCTAATTCCAGTGGTTATTGATACCCACTTTGGGTTCCTGAAAGCAACCTCTTTTTTCATTATAGTTTACATCATTTCATCCCATAGTTTATCGATCAAATCTGTCATCAATTCAGTTGGTTGTAGTAAACCTTATCAGCTTCGTAAATACTTACAGAGTGACATAAAGTCGACGATGTAAACCACCAGGGATGTCTGCGAATGGTGAATCATAGCCATAGTCGTCCAAAAGAGGAACAAGAGGAGACCTGCCGTCAACTGACACGACATCCATATGATCCAAGGCTTCATCAGTTGGTGTCTCTCCTGTAAAAATGAAATATGCAAGTGAAGATCTGGATTGTTAATACACATTTATGATGTTACACATTCGGACCCCTAAAACCTATGTATTGTATGTTGAGTTAAACTACCGTAGCCATTTCTACTTGGTAAGTTATTTTAAATTTGATATTTATCATGTTTATGGTCAGGAATTAGTTTCCGATATTTCGGCATAATCTTTAATTTACTAATTAAGCTCTTTATTTTTTTACCTAAACAAGAGCTAAAAATGTAAATGCCGCTAAAACTGAGGAAATGTATTAAACAATATCACCATCATCAACATCGACAGTCTTTAATAGTCCACTGCTGGACAAAGGCCTCTCCATCGAAAGGAGGTTTTGGCCTACTATAGCACGATGGTAGACCATCTGGTAAAGGGGTTTGTGTCAAGTTTTGATTCTCTTTGCAGTGCTACTGTCCTGTATAGTTTGCTCCCTTAGTAGGCTCTTACCATACCAATAGGGGTGGGTGACGCTCCGCATTCTTAATACGTCACTACATAGAAGATTATACAATAAGCTATAATGGCTCATTAAACAATAAACTACTGTATATATAAGAACTACTTACAAAAAATAACCATTTCAATTAGCGATTAGCAATAACCTATACGCTTATTAAATTACGGGACGAAGAATACAGCTAATGAGCTATTCCTTAAACTGTAATTTTTTAACCATCAGCCATTGAATATTTCATCAATCTCTAGTACAATAAATTCACATTAAAATAAACGAACTGAAATCGGTTTACAAATTTAGATGATATTGTGTAATACCTACAAGAACAAGGGAAGATTTGAGAACTTCCTCTTTTTTGAGATGATTAATTATATGGATAGGTAAATATTTGAGCTCAGAATCGTATTCCGAATTACCCTTCATCGATGAAGTGTTTGCTAAAAATACCCTTCGTCCGAAGTCCTTCCTTCCTACAAACTACAGTTCACCGATGAACGGCTTCGTTGAGGAAGGGTGTTTACGGCGAACCGTTAGGTCAGAGAACAAGCAGAGGTCACTCCCCTAGAAATAATGGAGGGATTCCTTACAACAACAATTCCTAAAGTAACATCACTCACTCGATGAAAAGTAACCAACAAATTGCTTAACACAGATTTTCTGTGATGCCTAACTATCGGACTGCCTCGGTGGTGCAGTGGTAGCGTATGCGAGTGTTCTGCTGAGGTCTCGGGTTTGATTCTCGGGTCGGACCAAATGTTTGTATGATCTGCAAATATTTGTTTCGGCGTTTGGGTACAAAAAAATCATTAGTATTCTTAGTACAAGCTTGGTTTAAAACTGGATAGCGTTGTGTGTCATATGTTTAAAAATATTTATTTATTTAACAATACGGTCGAGTTGGCCATCTGCTACTAAATAACTAATAATAATAATTTGCTACTCTCTCACGGTATACTATAAAAAATGTGTATACTGTGTGTACTCGATACTGTTGAATATATGGACTATTGAATAAAGGAAGCTTGATATTTTAATGAAACTTACTCTAATGGCTCCAATTAGCATCATAGTGGTGAAGAGCATGGTCACGCAATGAATAATGCCGATAAATATGACCACAGTATAGTTAGCTTCTTGGTCAATATCGTCACCTTGGTGGATAAAAACTAGCAGAGCTGCGCATTTTGCCAGTGCTAGGACGCAGTACAGCTGGAATAAAAAACAATTAAAATAATACTAGTTAGAAAAAGATAATTCCTTTTAAGTAAAGTTGAACCGCCTACAAACAATATTACCAAAGACCATTAAAAACATAGCAGCAATTGCGGTTGATTTGCTTGTCATTTTTTTGAAGAGTTCTTGTCTGTCTCCGAAACTCATCATCAGCTCTATATGAAATTTAAATTATACCATTACGGCATAAATCCCTTTCTAACAAAAAAAATATTTGAAAATCATGAACACATCCGAATTGATAACCTCCTCCTTTTTAAAGTAGGTTAAAAATATAAAGTGGATAGCAATATTATAGATACGTACAATAAGAAGCAAGCCTGAGAATATGCATCCAAATTTGAGTGAAAGACAGCCGAAGCCCTTTTGTCTTGGTAAGTGTTCCATTGATAACTGGATTTCTGTAAAAGAGTTAAGAAAATATATGTTTGAAACTAATAATGTAACAATGAAAATAAAGATCACTTAAAAAATTATGTTTATTCAAATTTAACGTCAGCCGAACATCGGAAATATTCTTTTATTCTTAAAAAAAAAGTCACCGCAAACAGTCACACACACTAGGATTATATCCTATGTCGCTGGGGACCTTACATACATTTATGAAACACACAAAGAACACCCAGACTCAGAACAACAACTTGTGGATCACGCAAAGTATTATCTAAGGTGGAGATTGAACCCAAACCCTCAGCGTAGTAGGAAGCAACGAGGTGACTGCTTAAACCACTACGCCATCCATGCAGTTCAATTCGCCAATCGGGAACAGTAACAACAATACCAAAAAAAAACAACCACTGTAACCTTCGTGGTATCTTTTTTTTCCTTTTAATGGCCTCATCTAAGAACATTCACCACAGACGTCACTGGTATCCATAATTGGTGTTGATGAAAAGGGATTGATTCTCAAATAGTACAAATACTACTGAAAAAACTAAATTATAAAAATGCTATGCGATTAAGTTTATCAGATAAATTGTTGTAAATAAGTGTGATTTCTAATATAACGCCGGACACAGTAATATTGCGACATATTATAGGCATTACCGGGAGTACATCATTCGCTCGAGGCCACTTGTTTTATAGGTTAGAGTAATCCCGATGGTTCAAACGACTATGTAAATAAAAACGAAGTGGGCTATTAGGAAGAAGAAAGGCAATTGATTTATTATTTCTAAAAAACTTATTATATATAATAACATGCTACTAATCTTTAATTTATTGTATAAAATAATACTGGTAGTTTATCTAAAGGAAATTTATAAAAAGGCAAAGGACCTCAAAAAGGTATGCACTAGATATATTTCTAGTTGATGTTTACGGTAGGTATTATTTAAATTTCATATGTTATATTTGACTCTTAATGCAGGCTGTGATCTTCTGTAATTAAGAATACAGTAGATCAATAATTTATTATTTTCTGTGAATACTATGTAATATTCTTGTTAAAGATCCTTTTAAAAAAAAAATGCTATTATAGCATAGGTATTTTAGACTTCCTATGGAAATGATATAAATTACAAAGTTACCGCTATCCTATCAATAGCGAATTTTTGTTTTATTAATTTGAAACTTAATACATCAAGTGTACCAGGGCAAACTTAATGTCATGACAGAATACATATCATTTTTGTACTGTAAGAATGCTCTGAATTTATTTGGTATCATAATTTTTTAGCACAATTTAATTACAGTTTACTGTCTATCCGCTTGAACGTCCGACTGACATATCTGTCGGTTACAAAAACTTCAACAATTTTTATAAAACATTATGATTTTGACTTGCCAGGCCCTGGTAGGGCCGAAAGAGTGGTTGGTTTCAGAACATTAAAGACTTAAGGAATATGGAAGTGCTAGTGCATGAACATAGCACTTAAAAGAGATTCATTGTTTGCCATCACTTTGCCAGGGATACTGAAAAGTGTCTTACACCCATTGAAAAATTACTTCTATGCGATTGAAGCCGCATGCAAAACTTTGTACCCTTATTACAAGGTTTGAACAAAATATGTATGTACATAATGACCGTGAAAAATGACCTTTATTGCCATCTGAATTTGTTCTCGAATAGCCATTCGCAAAAGTGATTATTTTATCTGTTGATAAAGTTATGTAGAGAAATCCGTGATCACGCTCCGATTAGATAACGAATTTAGTGTTTAAACGCTTCCTAATATTTCCAGAGGCAATAAGACAAGTCAATGCTGTGACTGCTGTTTTTTTTTTTTGACATTCCGTCGATTCGTAGCGCTATGAAGTAACAGGGAATCCCAAATCATTTTGGGCAAGAGACCAGACTTTTTCTAAAATGAACTTGATACCTCAGACCGATTTTAGCCAAATGTTTGCACGCTTATCGACTTATTGAGTTTTTAAAAGTAAAACAATGATACTTCTTACTAAGATAGAACTCATACTTATAACAAGTTGATATGCGTAACACAACTAATAGAGTATCTGGAAAGTTTCAAATTAATTTAAATAAGAACTTGTGTATATGTTGGTATGTAATAGATAATTAATAGGCCTTGAATTTTAGACCTCATCGACCCTCAAAATCAGTTTTCGTTAATGTCGACCCCTAGAAAACCAATTTCGACGATATCGATAACTTTAAGAATCCTTAGAATGCTTTACAATGTAATCAGTACGACTTTTCGCTATGGGTCAAATGTCAGGAACCTTGGGATAATCTATGGAGGAAATAACTGAACCCCTGTAAACTATAAAGACTTCTGGAAGAGGCTTTTGAGTCTGTTGACCCGGTTGTATAGATTTAATCTAATCCAACATATCATATCATGTATACATATCATAACACTCTTTATCGAAAATATATTTTTTGTTAAGCTTAAAAAAATCCTTTACCTTTTCCTTTACAAATAGATAAAGCATAAGCATAAAGTTGGCGAATTATTAGTAATTTTAGTAATTAACTCATTTCTACAAATAAACAAATCTTAATTCGCGTTACATGTTTGTAAATAAATAACTTATTTACAAACGATAGAGTTAATGAATTATGATTTATGTGAAAAAGATAAGCTCTATACAGATTTATTTTTGCAGTTATAATTTCAATGATATAGTTAATTTTAGTTGTTTTTTTAAATAATCTTTTAGCTGACATTAAATGAAACAAATTTTTATCACAACACAATATAACGAATTTTTTTTCAAGGTAATCGAATATAGCCAATCAGATAAATCTAATTCACATGATATTGATAAAGACTTCATGTAAACACAACAATATTTCATACACATTTATACAACCAACAAAGTTTTTTGGTAGATATTCTTAGATAATTCACGATATAATTATTATCAGTGCATCTTGGTCAAAATGTCAGGCAATCCAAAGCTATATAATACCCGATTAATCGCATTAAATCAGCAAGGTAATAATTTTACATCATGGAAAGCTAAAATTTGGTAATTCACAATTAACAAAAACGTATTAAAATATACACGAGGTTAGTTGATTGTCTAGAAGACTAACTAGCACCATATTATTAATAGGATGAGAAACACATGTTCTACTTGATTATAAGTATAAAATATTGATTTTCTTAGTTCTTCACTCATAAATTTTTACTTTCATTATTTCTTATAAATTTCTCAAAAAATATCGTATAAAACTCGAAAAGAAATAGAAACGTGTACACGGATTCGATTACTAAAATCTATATTGATGATATATTGATCTCGTCTTTCTCTAAAATGTGCCATAAGTTAGAAATTAAAAACAAAATACACTTACTTGAATACATTTTAAACTAAAAACACAACCAGTAGAACTACTAACACTAACACTTCAATAAAACAAAATTATCACAGTGATGTCTGACCCGTTTGCTATGGTAGAATGTACTGAAGCGGTATCAGCGATAGGGTTTTATCAGCAAATATCAAAATTAAAAGTGTTAATGATAAAAATGGATAATCCGATAGTGAACCGTTTAGATAATTACGTTTTTGTATTCGTCTTTTGTTCGTTTATGATCATTGTTGTCATTTAGGATAGTGTGCACAAATACATTTGCTAATGATATTTTGAGTAGATAAAGTTAATGATGGTGTAAATTTTGAGATAATTAATTGGCCGTCTCTTGTCAATGTTGTAATTTGTTTACAAAACAGACACATTATGATTCTGTGGCATATCTGAACTATTGGGCTGGTATGCGTATTATGTGGCATGAAAATTATTTTTAAACCAAAATTAATTGCTCCTCCTCCAACGGTACTAGAAGTTTTTGAGTGCTATTTTAAAAACTTAAATTTTTATTTTTAATGATCTTCTTTAGAGATTTTATCCGGTTTTCAAGAAAACAGAACAAAATGTAGACGACCCACTGAAGGACTCGTGAATTATATAGTCGAACTGGGGACCTTCTGCTTAAGAAGAGGAGAAAGACCTTGTTTGAACGTTACGATTTTCCCTCAAAATACTACAAAGACAAATAAATTTTAAATAAAATATTAATAGACTACTTACATCGCGATTCTATTGCATGTTTAAGACTAGAAGACTCACGGTCAGGCTCCGGTTGAAGTTTTCGTGTGACTCTTCTTTAGTTTATAATTAACATCTTCGTACCTTATTACATATTTGGATGTATTGTATTAATATAACAATATATCGATGCAGTTTATATTATGTGTATCTCGCAGAAAAAACTCAGTAATATGTTGTAACACAGACAACCGCAGCCGCCGGACTTTTGATATCATAAATGAGTTCAGAGAATAGGCAAGTGATAATATACAGGATGCCCATTGAAACATGTACAATGTTGATGCATGATAAAGTAGTATTCATTTAATAAAAAAACAAAGCAAAGGGAAAAAATATTCCTCGTCTTTATGGTAAAGCCCTAAATGCAGAACATTAAGAAAAAAGTCATAGTGATCATAGATACATTATTTCGAATCTAAGAATAAAGAACACTAACTTGGAAAATTATAGTTAAAGCTGATTTTAACTTTAAATAAGTATACTAATAATAAAATATGAGAATGAAGGTTTGTTCCCTTCTTATGTTTTCCCGTTTTAACAAGTCAACTGATCATCCTGAAATGTTTAATACAATATGTATTGTGGCATGGCAACATTTATGTATTACACCAGTGGCAAAGAGTGGTGAAATGTATGGAGTACCTTACATTCAATTAAAAATTGTTACGGGATAGATCGAAAATGAAGCAGTCCCTTTATTAAAACTAGTATTAAATGCATTATGTTATCTGTATATTGGTTACTATCTCTACACGTCATTACACACTACTACATCAAAGTATGTAGTAGTGTGTGGCTTTTTAATGGCTTTATAAAGTTGAAAACTTAAATTTCTGGTAATTTTAATTATTTTCCAGCATTATCTTACTGTTATTTGATGGCATCCTACTAGCAAAAATAATTATGCAAATCGTTATAACTTTCAAAATAATGTTCACAAAATGTGACTACCGAAAAAAACATTTCTTATTCAGAATGACTCAATTTCTTATCATCCTTCTAAATAACAATACTTAAATTAAATATTACAAAGTCGTGTATAAAAATACTAGATAATGGATAAATGTTTGATAAGCTCACAATGTGACTGACAATACTGATGGCGTAGTGGTCGAAGCGGTCGCCACGCCGAATCCTACTGCGCTAAGTGTTGTTGGTTCGATCCTCACATGGAATAACACTTTGTGAGAATCACAAAAGACCACATGAGAATTCAAAAATTATGTACAATGTATGTAAAAATGTTTAAAATAATTTTCCATTCTTTTTTTAATCTGTATATTTTTCAAGCTTGCACGAGTACATAGCGCTTCAAAAATGTATCCATACTTTTTAGTACATCTTGTACAAAAGAATACTAATAAATATTTTCCATAATTTAAAGTCGATCGATTCGAATACGCTCACTTTAATGGACTGAAAACTGCGCATAATTATTATAAAAAGGGCAAGTTCATCCAATAATAAGATAAATAAGAATATGTTGCGAAGATAATGATGATGATGATATATTACGAGCTGATCTACGCAGCTTCGTTTGCATCTCACGAAAGGAATGGAATGCCCCGTTTTGGTATAATTTTTAATGAGTGCTGGGCTCTTATTGGTCGTGGTTGGTCTAACTCCTGAGATTACTGCGGTCAACCAAACAAACTCTTCAGCTTTATCATATTAGTATAAATACGCTTGGTTATAAACCCTATGTATGCGTAGATTCGCACACAGCCATAAGAATATACTGCGTTATACAATGCATTTTAACCCAGACTAAACCATTGCTGGTAATGCAATGGTTTAACATTAACTATAATGGCTTGAATACTACATATACAAACAACGAAAGTGATACCACACCGACTGAGTATTAACAGCCTTAGTAGTCCACTGCTGGACATTGGCCTCTCCTTAGATAAGAGGTTTTGGCCTACTATACCACGCTATCCAGACGGGTTGGTATAGAGTTTGCTTGAAGTTCTCTTCTCTTCGACACCTACGGGATGAAAAGGGGTGGTGACACTCCGTATTCTTATTTTGTCACCACTCGGACCGAGTGTGAAGTTACCGGAGCCTAAACCCCTGCTTCCCTTTATTCTTGGGGTTGGGGACCACTTTGTGACTTTTAAGTTTTAGGTGTCAATGGGCAGCAGTAGTCACTAAGAATCAGAAGACCAGTCTTATCAGTATTTCATGTTCAGATAACTCATAAATATACCATATAATAACTTGAAAGCGCGAGGTGTTTTTCACTATCATCATCTCCTTCGAAAGACGTCCACTTGACTGCTGGACATAGGCCTCCCCCAAAGTTCGCCACAACAACCAGTCCTGTGCTGTTCGTCTCCTTGGTGTGACGTGTGTCCCGCCACCTTGTGAGGGAAAAAGAAAATTACCTTATCTATAGAGCGCATGAACTTAGAAGAAAAAACTAACGATACAATGTAAGCAGTTTATTAACATAATACACAATGACTTAAATGACATAATTAAAGCATTACACACACACATACATAATACATAAACCATTAAAGACTTAAACTATACGTGCGATAAAAACGAGTGTTTATTGAAGTTTGGCTATCAAACAATAGATTAACTTTTTGATGTTTACATAAACGTTCATCATTGATATGTCTAAATAGACGGATAAAGCTGCGAAGGGTTAAAAAAAAACGTCCAAATGTTGGCCACTAAGTTTTTTACTGCTGTCGCTGAGAATAAACATGCTTAATTTACACGCACACCATGATAACGAATCTAGACATATAAATGATCAGTGAACGTAAATAATAAAATTGTTATGGAGGGACCATTTCGAAAACTTTTGAAGCATTCTACTCGTATTTAAAAATAAATCTGTGTGTCATAGTATCAATACAAAACAGTACAGTTATATTATCATCATCATCATCATCATCACAAAACAGTATATCTTTAGTCAACATCAAAATGATAAGTTCAACACGCAGTACGTGATACTGTTGCCTAATCATTTACTTTAAAAGTAAATCAAAGATTTTAAAATAACCTAAAAACGTAAAATCGATAGATTTTATTACAGTATTTTAGGTTATTTTATTGGTTTATTTGAGGATGTATTTTTTTATGGTATAAGAGGGTAAACAAGCAAACGGTTCACCTGATGGTAGGTAACCACCGCCGCCCAATCTACAACTCAAGAGTCACTGCGATAACGCCCTTTAAGTCCCTCTCTCTTGAGTCATCTTGAGGGAGGATTGGTCTCCGGTAACCTCACTCATTCGGTGAGAAGGAACGAAAAAATTACGATGGAACCGGCCCATTCTTTAAGCACAGGTACAGGCAAGCACCCAATTTACTTGGAGGCGTTTCATCAACAGCCTTTAGAAGTCCACTGCTGGACATAGGCTTCTTCATACAAATGAGGTTTTGGCCTACTATACCACGCTGGCAAGATGATGCCGCTCGCCGAGCCACGATGGCTCGATGGTCGCCCCGGCTGGCGGTTCCACGAGCTGGTTTTGCCTCCGCGGAGGCACGATTGGAGGTCGATTGGGCAGGGCAGCATCACGGGACCCTTTCCTTCCGACTAACGTGAGCCTGCGCTATTGCGGGCAGACGCTAGGACGAGCCCGATAGTCTAACACACAACACACGCCGCCCGCCCCGCCGTAATACCCGGTGGGATAACGGCCCGAGGGGGTTTTCACACGTAAAAAAAGGGGGTGTGTCAAGTGTCTCTTTATTTCTCTTTGGAGGACTTTAGATAAACAAAATTTGAATAGGAGATTTTTATTTAATATCTTTATTTAATTCACCAAATCGTACAAGGCCTCAACGAATATTTTATACATTACTCGTATATTTTTTGCATAAAAAAACTTTACAGAAATCCCCAGACATTGCACTTTACTGTAAAATCTTAGTTAATTTTACCTAATCTGTAGTCAACAAAGTATGCAAAATTATAACATGTTAAAATATAACTTAATAAATACATAATGTAACTAAATAAACCAGAAAACAAAGGAGGAAATATTCAACTGTATATTACACTGTATTTATCTCTATTAGAACCTTTTAAATATTTCATTGGTACATAAATCAGACTTGTGAGCTATTGTCATTGAAATACGTACATACAGAAAAATAATCAATAGACAATTCCAAGCTTTAATAAACAACAAATTTGAATCAAAATTAAAAGAATTTAAATGGATCTTTGGATTTTTTGAATGTAATAAACATGCAAACAGTTACAGTTAGTTGTATCTCGTTTTTAAATCATGTTACAAATAAATATTCATTATACTTAATGGTAGTACTTACATCTACTAATTATTTTACTTACTCTACAAAACAATAAAAAATCTCTTATCGATATCGTTAGCGAAACGTATCATTTTTTTAAGTTTAATATAATTATCTTATCTTTGCACACATCTTATTTCTTACTCACTACGACTACTTGACTACTCTTAGTAAACTACAACAAAAAAACATTTACCAACCGTACGAAAAACCATAAATGAAATCAATTTCACCACTTATGATAGTGGTGGTAACCACTTCCATACCCTACGTGATCTCCGTAGCCACCAGAAACAACCGTATGAGAGACTCCTGAAGATATGCCGTGACCCAGGCCTCCTACACCTATAGAACTAATACCGCCTACACCTCCTATTCCTCCAAGACCTCCAATGCCGCCAATGACCCTAGCTTCTACACTTCCTGCTATCCCACCAACTCCTGCCCCTACTACTGACACCGATACAGGAGCAGGTTGAGATACTCTTACTGGAATAGGAGCGGGGACAGCAACGGCATACGGTTGTGGTACGGGGATCCCGACTTCTTGAGTAACTGTTACTGGGACTGGTTGTGGCACTGGGTAAGGAAACGGTCTATCTACTGGTATGGCTACGGGTCGGGCTATAATATGAGGTACGGCTTGAGGAACCGCTACAGGAACAGGCCGGGGTTGATCCACAGGCACGCCGACATGTACTGGATAGGGTACAGCGCGCGGTACTTGGATCGGCACCGGTTGCGGTACTGGAATAGCGACGTGGTTGTAGTACTCAGAATAGCTGTGCTGGATTGGTATGATTCCAGCGTTCCGTTTTGTTTGAGCGCTTTGAGCGTAATGGATGCAGGCGAAGAATACAAACTGCAAAAAACAATAATAGATATAATCTCTGTTTAGAATTCCACAAACAAATTCTTGGAACATCTTAACGCACGATTATTTCAGTTCACTCTAGTCCTCAACTAAAAGAACCATCGTAAGAGTGCGAGTTTTTTTAAAGTGCAAAGTGGACAAATAGGCAGGCCACAGCCTTCCCCCAGAATTAGGGAGGGATTAGACGCCAGTTACTTCCCTTACTTGGTGAAGAGCCACCAAAAATTGATTTACAGTGGAAACATCCTTCCTATCTAGTACACGTTAATCCTTAAAGCTAATATTATTATTAAGAAATTAAAAACTATTTGGCTGTTCCATATCTTCGCGAGATACTATTATTAGCAAAGCATGGCTTTACCCATTAATCAAAAAGAAAACGACTTGGATTTATTTCAGAGAGACAGACATGGTTAGACACAGACTTCTGTTCGAAAAAAGAGGTGATCCTGACAGCTAATGTATGTTCGAATGCATGGATCTTCGAATATAATGAGGCAACTTCTAAAAATTTGTGAGTTAGAGCCTATTATGGTCTTGTAGGTGATGTCACTTCGGCTTCAATATCGTTACGAATTTGAATGTTGATGAAGTCAATTTACGATTAAAAGCTTAAATTTAACGATAGTAAAAAAATCTCGATAACTTTAAATTATTTTAAAGTAATTGCAATAATTAAAGAAAACTTACATAATAGTAACGTAACATTTTTCTAATGAACAACTAATGAGTACAACTACAGCAAGTAGAGGATCGAAAGTGATCTGTTTCAGAAAGTAAAGGTATTTATAACGGCACGCGTGTGCCTTAGGACGGAAACAGGGTTTGTTTACACCCTGTATGAAAGCTCTAAGGTATTTTTATAGAGCTGCTAATGCAAGGCATATGATTTTATAACACTGTTGATTCAACTAAAAATCTACAGCACGATCTAGCTTTACATATGTATATAGATCTAATCAACAAATGAAAATTATGAAAAATATAGGTTATTGTTTTGAGAAAATAAATGTCTGCTATTCTTCTGGTAACCAACAACTAGTCATTTTTAAATTAAAAACTAACTAGGAATGTTTAGAAAAGCAACTTTAAGAGAAAGATATTAAAATAGCAATATTTTTTGACCGTATCATGAAATATAGTACAATATATCGGACATCCAACACACAAAGCCATCTAGTTTCAAACTAAGCAGAGCTTGTACTATGAAAGCTAGATTGACTGATAGAATACTCATATACTTTTTGTAAATACATACATATTATACATAGAAAACACCCAAACTCCGAAACAAATATTTGCAGATCATACACACATTTTTTTCGACCCGGGAATCGAACCAAAGACCTCAGCAGAGCAGTCGCATACGTTACCAACTGCACCACCGAGGCAGTCAACAACAATGAGTGTATAGTGTGAGATTATTTCCGTATTAATGTAATTTTACACAAAATCAATTTTATTTTCAGCATTGAAAGTATAGCGAGATTCAAAAACATGAAAAACACCACCTATCGCATGACACATTCAACATCATAAGTTAACGTTCACACAACTCTGTAAAGTTCCACCAGACTGACACATACGGGCGTCCCCTATCAAGAAAGAACTAGTCAGTAGTATGTGGCTTATTTAGTCGTAGTAGATCTAGTATGGTATAGTAAACCAGATCGAGTACGTCATGTAATCGCCCAGCTGACCGTTAGTTAGGTAATAAAATAATTGTTAACATAAATATATAGCTCTGTACTATACTGTACAGATGTCGTAGAGGTATATTGACTTCGGAATCTGTTTGCCAATTGCTTTTGACATTAGTGGGTTCGATTTGAAATTTACGAGAATTATATCTGAGACACAAGTGTATTGCAGCAGCATTTACATTATAATCCTTCCTATCCTAAGTATCTTTTATGGCAGACACTGTCTGCAAGCATAAATTATTTTAAAGTACCAAAAAAAAACATGTGCGTTTCGGGACGCCCGACAGAAGTGATAACTTAAACTTATCTAAATATTTAAATTATTTAACTTGAGAAAAGCTTAGGTTATAACTTAAATTTTATGTAAAGCGTCTGTCCGAATTACGGCTAGCGCTAAAGGTTAGAGTGAGAGAGGAGGAGCCTGCCTACCGCTGCCGTGTGCGTGAGAGAAAGGGAAGCCAGACAGACTGGCGCCGTAACGCGTTACGTAACGAAGCGGTTTACCCTCCCAAAATAAGTTATTACTTCAAAAATGTGTTAATTGTTAGAATACCTATATTCGTCAGAGAGAGTGAAATGGAGAACAACTTAAATGGAAAAAATATCCTGCCAGTACTACAAGCAAGCTTTATAATTTCAGAAAACATAACTCACTTTTTTACTGCTTTTTCTCTCCAAGATTAAGAGAACTTATGATAAGTAATATCAATGGAAACTAAAACAATTGAAGGTTTACTGTTTTATAAGGATTCGCCGCAGATATCAATATGTCGATGGCCTGTAATACTCAAAATGAAAACCTAACGCATTGCGACTAATAATCGAGTACCATCGAGGCCATCTTCTTACCTTTTTCCCAAATTGTTTTCTTTTCTTACAATCTTCCCTATCACTCAACAGATCAATGCTCCCCTTTGCACCTTTCCCAGTCGCCTGCTTTACGCCAACCCTCCTTAAGAATGTAATTCGACTAATAATAATATTAATATTAATAGTATTTAATTAATTAATTGTAAATTGCAATAAAAGTACATATTACATTTTGACTGCACGTATGGTGTAATGCTGTGTGTACTACGCTGTATGTTGTGGGTTCGATCCCCACATGGCACAACACTTTGTGTGATCCACAAATTGCTGTTCTGAGTTGGGGTGTTCTTTGTGTCCGTTACATGTTTGTACAGTCCCTCGCGACACATGATATATAGCTGGTGCGGAAGTTGTCTTTTAAAAAAAAATAACCCATTGATCCTCTAAAATAATAACATTTAACCTTAAACGTAGTACGTACGTAAGCCTTGATACGGTGACTGTAGATTTCGTCAAGAACTTGGAACGGGAATTTGGAACTTGGTGAGATAAGGCATCACTCATATTTTGAGCCAGCATTTAGATTTTAATCCGTAAGTCATACAAATTACATATACATTACAATATAAAAACAAATAACCCTCTGTCCTAAAAATTATTAAGATACGGCATGAATCATTTCAAAGTGCCATAAAATAATATAATTAACGTATTTACTACAGTTGTTTTATTGTGCTTATTATTTATTTTTAATTTGTAATTTGACTTAAACTATAATTTTAGAATTGCCTGTAGTGGAAAGATATTTATGTTATAAATACTATTGATGGCCCAGGTAGTCAAATTACATTCCATTAATTATTGAATACTAGCTTTTGACAGCGGCTCCTCCGCGTGTATATCGGCTATCGCGGTAAAAAGTAGCCTTTGTTACTCGCTGATTATGTAGCTTTACATTAGTAAAAGGTTTTTTTTTAATCGGTTTAGTGGTTTAGGTGGTGAAAGCTTTACAAACAAACTCACTTTCTCGTATATAATTTAGGTATAGATACCATACATACATCTGGATAGGCTGAGAGGCAGGGAGAAGCCACTGTCTTTCCCTGAGAGGGGGCCTAAGGTTCGCCATCGGAGTGGTTTTAAGTGGAAACAAGACGTACTCCTGGCACCGATATCCCCAAGGAGCCGGAGATCCGTAGGGATTTTCCACTCCGCCACAAAAAAAAAGGTATCGAGAGACCAAGACAATATTGAAGCAAACAATTATAAATCCAATACTTACAGAAAGAATGACTTATCATAGAGTCATGAAACAGAATTAGCGTAAATTCAGCTATATTAATACACGAAAGCATGTAACCATGGTTTAGAGATAGTTACAAAAAAAAACATGTTTACTTATTTGTCGTAGAACGAACAGGTAGCGATTACATTCGCAAGAGAGCAGCAGTAGTTATAAACAAAATTTAAAAAAACTTTTGCACCGTAACTAATACTTTCGACTAGTACAAACGGGATGTGTCAAGTTTTCCTTTTGTTTGCAGTGCTTTTGTCCTGCCTAGTTTGCTCCCTTAGTCGGCTCTTAGACGACACCCACGGGATGAATACAAATACAGACACTCCGTATTCGTAATCCTGTAATAATAGTCACTACACGGATAAATTTGAAAATTTATTTTATATTTAACTCTATAACCGACCACGGCCGGTGCAACCTGGTCGAAACATCATCCGCGTATATTATACGTATTACATACATACGTCGTATAACATGATCACGTTAAACGTTACGTTTGTAAAATCAGCACATACATAATCATAGAAGAATAAATAATTTTATAGTTGGATTGTTTTGCGATAAAATAGAATTTTCATTCTGGCAAATGTTACAAGGAATAGTAGTATATAGTACATAGTGTAGGACTTATTTTTCTAGCTCTCACCAATGAAATATTATATAATTAGAACAATTGTAATAATGTATGCCTTTAATACCAACAGGATGTCAAGACGAATAAGCAATATGGCGTCTAGTATTTTATCAATAACCAATCTTGTTTAACTAAACTATCATCTAAACTAAAAATAGTTCTCCATAAACAACTCTCTACAAATAAACAAAATTGAAGTGTCTGTTTGTAATGTCATAATAATGAGTTTTTTTCATGGCCACACGGTTATTTGTCTGTCTGTCTGTTTGTTCCCGGTAATCTTCAAAACGGCTGTACCGATTTTTATAATATTTTACTACCAGGTAGGTGTCTATATAAGGCACGCACCTCAAGCTAGTAATAAATAAAAATAAACATTTATATTCCCTCTACATGCTGCGCTCATGTCAGTATCAGCACCTCTATGAAGACTTACGTAGTTAAAACTTACAGAATGTGGTTCTGACACTATTCTCATAAGGAGTGAACACTTCCCTCTTTGGTGTTATTAAAAGGCCTGTTTAGGACAATCACGTAATACGTTAATTGATTATACTTTGGAAAACTAACAGCTTACACAGTATATTACCTAAGTATTATTTAAATT